ATGGTCAAACAACACTGCCATTTCACTTTTTTTGCCAGAGAGAACTTTGTACGTGGTGGCTTTTTGTCACAACTGCCCTGAAAGGAAGTATCTATGTACAAAGCAGGTACTGCAAATTTCAATCTTATGCTCCTTTTTAGGTTAACTGTAGCTTTCAGTGGACAGAGCAATTTAAGGGCTGTTTGCAGGAGGCTGCTTTATTAGTATTCAAGTTGCCCCACCCAAGTTTTGTTCTCCCACACATTCAGCCCAGAACACAAAAGAATACAGATTTTAATTGAATGTATCCCAGCAATCTTTCCATTCCAAACCCTCAAGTAGCTTAACTTTTTAGACTTTAAAAACTGGTAAATGTAAAATCACTATTTCAAACATTTGGCATTAAAAAGAAATGCCGAGCCTTAATTAGCATAGTGTCTAGATTAAGACGGAGATTTTACTCTGCAACATACCTAACTGCCTCACCATTTCGAGATTTATGGAACAATGACTACAGCAAAGGCCAAAAAGCAGAAATTTTCATTAGAACTCCAAACTTCTCAACTCCCATGTGACAGAAGAACAAATAGGCATTTCCAGAAATACCAGAAATTAAAGCTGGTAAGTGGCATTGGGGAATCCCAGACTGTCTCTGCTTCTGACAATAGGTACCTTTTCTGTTGAATTGCACAGTCAATTTTCAATTTTAAAAGACACTCTATTATTTTAATTATTCAGTATTGAGGATATTTGGAAACAAATCCTAATTCTAATCTTCTTGTCCATTCGACATGATAGCAATTAGAAGAAAACTGGTCTCTGTCAAATTGCAGTACATGTTTTTCAGATGATCTTCAATACTTACAGAAAAAGGTCCTAAAACTTTTTAGTTTTTGCCTATAGACTTAAGACAGTGAAAACAATCTAAACCATGAGAACCTTCACACAATATTCCTTTTCTAGAGTAACCAAGAACGTGGTTTAAAGCCAATCTACCTGAACGAACCACTTAGGCACTTACATCATCCTAGTATCAAACAGCTAGATACTTAAATATGTGTAGGTGCCTGAAAATGTTGACGAGCATCTTGTCATATTTAAGAAACAGGCAAAACATGTTTAGACAGGCCTAATCTTCATACATTTGAAAATCTACTTTGTCACTGTTTCAGATTCTAGACGCTTTTGAAGTCAGGCCACAAACTGACTCGTTACTCCAGAAAACACTCCAATCTCAAATATTAGAGGCCTAGTAAGACATCAGGAGTTATATTTTTAATTGTAATTTTTCAAAATCTGCTTTTCTAAGCAGAAACTATGAAGAACTTCAGTCTTACTGGGTAGAAACGTTGATTCTCTGTTAAGTGAATAAACTGTGGACTGCATATAAACAAATTCAGCTCTGAATTGATAGCTCCTGGTATTACTACAGCAACTTTTTCAAGTGTTACATGTGATAGCCTCTAGCAACAATTTAAAAGGTCATTTTTTAGGTGGTCAGCTTTTATGTGTTTAATGGTAGGTTTTGAGTTCGATAATGGGAAGCAAGAGATGAGGAAAGTAGAGAAAATACAGCTTCTTGGACAGAAGAGACTTGTTGCTTTGTCAAGACATGATTGCAGTTTCTGTTTTCTACACATTCTTTAAGTGTGCACATCCACTGCTTAGCTTCCAGTCTTGGCATTTCTCCCACCCAGGAACCCTGCTCACAGATTCCCAGTTTACAAGCATCCTCCTGTGACTACACATCATGCTTTGACAATAGTCATTTGTGACAGAGTGATAAATCTCATTCCTTCTCTCCAAATACACGTGTTCACATGGCAACAGTCACCCCCAGGAAGGATTTCACAGTGATTAAGTGTGTCAAGGACAAAGGATTCTCCAGTTAATGAGGCTGCCTTCACACACGTTAAATCAGGTGAAATACAGGGATACAGCAAAAACATGAAGTGAGGAATCTCTCTTCTATCGAAGAGTCATACTGTGGACTATATAAATCCTGCTAAATATTTAAATTTAAACAGCAGCCTTATTTACTTGTGTGTTCCTGCAACTCCTTTGCTGGCCTGCTCACCCTTGTGCTTTTTGTGCCAATATTCTCAGGGTGTGATCTGACAATGGAACTAAACCGAGCAGCAACTGAAAAAATGGATGTCCAGCTGTTCCTCCAACTTCCACCATTCCCCCTAGGGCTGACCCTACAATAACACAGAGCAGAGAGTTACCCATCTGACACTCACCCCACAAAGTATTTTTCCATCACTTCTTGTCCTTGACCTGGCTCACGGCAGGGTCAGATACCCTCAAAACGAGAAGAGCAGATGTGAAAAAAGAGAGCAGAGCCGTCTCTTTCACAAGCATCAAGACAGGTGTAATTTGAACACAAAAGCAATGTCCTCTGGCAGGGACACCAAGATATATACTTGAATATCAGCAATTATCCTCATTTTCAAATCGGCCACCGCAGGAAAGCCTAGAGAGCTTCAATACATCAGTGACATTTCCTTCATGGTCCTCATTCCAGCACAGAGTTTTACGCTATCAGCCCTACTGCTGGAGAAGTGTTTGTAATTCCTGCTTCTCATGCACATCCTGAAGACTTACCTCCTACTCTTCCCACTCCTTATTTTTTAATGCTAACAATGAGGTTACAGACAAGGATACTCTTTCTTACCCCAAGACATCTTCACTTCTAAAATACAATACACTAAAAATTTATTTTAGGGAGGAATGAGAAAAATACTCAGTCCATTGCTTCTAACTTCACTTTCATCTCCCATCCAAGACCAGTTACCATATCGTATGAATTGAGATATAAATACAACCAACTAATTCCCATTAAAAAGACATCCTTTCTATCCTCCTCAAAAACTGTAACTAAGAGCAGCTTCTGAAAACTGAAGCAAAGGATAATTTTCCTTGCTTATCTTGCACAAAATATAGGACAGCTCCTGTTGGTTGCCTTGAATTATGCCCTTAAGGCTTGGCTTCAAAACAGAGGAAACCAGACTGTCATGGATTTAGACTGCTGTGCTCTTAGAGCTGCATATCTAAATTTTAGGTAACTGAAAAATCCTTTGTGGTCAACCTTGTCTCCAGCCAGTAGACAGCAGTAGTAACAAAACAACAATTACATTCATACTGCCCCCGATTTTGGGGAGAGGCACACACAAGTTATCAGAGCTAGATAAGTAAGGAATAAGAGAACCAGTGTGATTTACGACAGTGGCTGAACTCCTACAGCAAGGTCTGGTTTCATCACACATGTCACTTAGCCTTTGCTCTAGAGCAGCAGCCCAGCCAAGCAGGATAAAAGTGTGAATGAAGTCATCCTAACACATAGGCACACCTAACTTCCAAGTATGTTCATGTATTAGCCAATGGACCGATCTCATTACCCAAGCAGATGCCTATTAAAAGTTTTAGTGGTGTGGGTGAACTCAAAATAGCAATTGCTGCTGCTTGTTGCAACAGGAGCAACAACGTTTGACCACGGAACTTTAGCAGCTCTAAACTGAAAGGCAAGTTCAGTCAGACGGGACACCAGAGACCTGTGATATTATTTTTATTAGTTGTGAAGTGGCACAAGACACTGTCCCACTGCCTGATTCAGTATGGTGACCAGCAAAACCAAATACTGCTCAAATAGTGAAAAGTGTTTCCCTCTACACTCAAAATTAGAATATTTCTGAAATATTCTAGATATTCTAGAAAGCAAAGGTTGGTTTACTTAGTCAGCTTGTTTATAGAGGCACTCTTTTAAAAAAATACCTCTAGCTAAACTGAAAGAGCAAAGCATCCATCAGTGCTGCAAGGACGCCAATTCAGCAGCTGCACCAAATGCGAACCAAACGCTAACCTACAGCTCAAAAGGCTTTCTGAGCAGCAGCCAGCACATCTGCAGGTTACACCTCAACAGTGACTCCACCTTCTGCTGCTGCTGCTGATGTGCACTACAGGCTGACTAAAGACACATTACTCTCATGTACTGTGAGACCATCTTTCCATCAAAACACCCAACTGAGTACACTGTGTAACTTTACTCATGAACATCAAAACTAAAGACGCTCCATTTTCAAACCTAAGCATCTTTATCCAACACCTGCCCCAGGACCCCACACAAACCTGGCAATGACAAACAATACGTTTCATTTCGCTCTAAAGGGCACAAAAATTTAGGATGAAGGATGAAACACAGCATTCTTCACAGATCACGAAGATTTGTTACAAATTCTTACGATATCTGGAAAGTCAACTGAACACAAACTCATCTATTTTACAGACTTCTTACCAGCAACACAAAAACCTGGAATGAGTAGTAGTAGGAACAGAAGGACAAGTAGTAGACTACAGCAGTTCCACTGCTCCAAAGGAAGTATTGCTTACTATGTATGTCAAAGTTTGGGTCTCCATCAATACTTCTACAACAAGCAAGATTATGTGCAGCCTAATGTCTCTCTTAAACGCTGTTCTGGAGATTCTCCTGAGAACCTCCACATTTATGTCTTCCTTCCCCGCTGCTCAAGTCTCATATCCACCCCTCCTGTCACACTAGAACTGATAAACCACAGCTGCCCTAATTGCTCAGCTGGTTCCTGTATTCTTGCTGACAAAGATACCCTGCCACAAACTAGGGAGTTAAGTGCTCAAACACCACACTGATAAGAACGGTATTAGGCTTAGACAGAAACATGATTGGGTAGTAAAGTCCTTACGAGGCTTATTCCTAAACCTGGAACAAAGTTCCAATCTGGGCATCAGCACAATCTAACAGAAGTTCTGCAGACCCCACAGACATGTGTATGATTCAACTATGGGGACCGAGGTAGTAAAAAACTGTTAATTTGCATAACAGATAATGGCTCTGCAAATAGAAACAGCCTAGTCCATACTGTAGTCAGCTGTTGCCTTTGTGCTTTCTTCTCTGTAATTCATTAACCTACAAGCTTATCAAGGTGGGAATGAAGAACGTATTTCCAGCATGAAAACCAGCAGTCAAACTGAGCAGAAGTACTTACGTCACTCTTCCTGAACTTTGCTTTTAAGCTCTTCATGCTGATCACATTCAACCTTCCAAACTTTCGAGGAGCTTTTTATTCTTCTTCAATATCTAAACAAAAAAGAAAGAAAGAAACATTCCAACTTGATACCATTCCGTTCACTGGCAGGCAAGTCACAATTGAATTTGCATACCCCTATCACTCTTCGAGGATTTAGCCCTTAAGCTCTAAAAAATAATTAACAGACACTTAAGGGAAACTTTCTAACTGTTTCCCTAAACTTAGAAGTAAGCCTAAATCTGACCACTGAACAACAGAACAAATGTTTACCAAAACCTAAGCTGTGTATCATGTTATACTAACTACATCTCCACATATTTAGATCACCAACACGTTCATACATGAGCAGATTCCTCTGACCACTGCCTATTTTAATATCATCAGGACAGCCATTTGTAAAGTGGCAAAATCATAATTAAGCATGCAGTCATTCATTGAAACTCCACCATCCTGTCACCACGGGTCTGCACTGGATACCAGAAGTACCACCATTATTCTATGCACAAATCTAACCCCTAATCAAACTCTGAATTGTACTTCAACCATGCAGGACGCACACTGGGACAGCTCAACACAACACAGACGACAGAATCGTCTGAGCAAGACAGAAGTTATTGCTGGAAGAATTGTTTTGGATTCTTCCCCATAAGGAACTGAATGTGGGTTTTTAAGATCCATAGCTGCTTGTAACTTGGCAGAGCACTATCACAGCCGTATTCCCCCTTCCTCCCTTTCACATGAAGGAAAGCAGCAGTTGAACAAACACCTAAAACTAACCTAACAGACAAGCTGCAAACTCTCACAGAGGAGAGTGAGTGTCTAGAACAAAGTTTTCTACAGAAAGCTTCAATGATACCACACCTTGCCAATCCAACACAATGGTGAACAGCACACTATAGTAGCATGGCAATGTGCTTTTTCCTATAGCACAGCAGAAAATCTTAATGAGAGAGCAACATGTGGATTGGCAAATGCACCTAGGTAAAAATGTTCCACATTTCTAGTTTTACAGTATGCTTACTGAAATAGTTGCTTTCATCTACAAGTTTTAGCTGCTATACAAATTCTTTCTGAAGGAACAGTTTCAAGTTAAGGATGTTCAGCTGTATAAACTTCCTCTCTCCACCCTAGAAAAAAAAGTAGAAGTTTTACAAGTCTAGTCAGATAAATAAATTACTGAAATAGGGACTGAAGCATAAATTCAAATAGGTCATGCAGGGTCACTATGTTTCACATCACTCTTCAGATTACAATTTGATAACCAAAGTGAGATTCAGTTGCTTCATAAAAGTACATCTCATTATTAAAGCCAAGTTGCTACGTTCTTCGTGATGCCTCTACTATGAGCTTCAAAAACCCAACCACGCAGCACACTGTTAGTATAATATATATGTATATGAGTGCTTCCACAAAATACAACCCTAACTACCATTCAGGAATAGCAATCACTGCTAAGTAAACATGTTATTTAGTTCAACCCCGTATTTATCTGACAGCCATTTAAGACAAACTTAAGTACATTTCTTAAAAACCCCCCTCCCCCCCAAAAAAATCCCATACACTATATACATACAAACATATTTCCCACAGGCTATACCTCTCCAGTACATATCAGCAGGTAATCTGGATGGGGTAATTCTGTAAGTTGTGAAAAAACTGTTAAATTTAATTAAATTACTCTAAGTCTAATTAAGCAGTCATTTTCAAGCCATGTCAGATCCCTGACTGCATCCAGGTATATGAACAAGGGGTTTCATTCAAAATTCTTGCATTTAATCACAAGGAGAATGGGTTTGTGGAATTTCATTTAATTCTTCAGCAGGCAAAAAAAAAAAAAAAAAAAAAAAAGGAAAACAGATTTTGCAGAACCTTTTCACTCCCTGACCTAGGCGAAAATTTCTTAGCTTTTTCCTGTGTGGAATGGAATACTTGTAAAACAGCAAAAAAAAAATTAAAAGTGTTAAAAAATAATAACAATCAAAAAGAAGGAATTATTTCAGATCACTATGAGAGAAGCATACCATTTTGTTTCTGCTACACCTACCCAAACTTTTGAGAAAGTGTTTAAATTGCACAACAGCTGTCACATAACCTGTAGTGGAAAGGAGCCTGAACCTCTGCAAGAGCCCAATAATCTCCTATATTATCCTCTAGTAACATCAAGGATGATTAGAACTGCAAATGCCAGGGTACAGACAAGACAAATATCATTACTCGTCTGGCTTTCTTTGCATACCACGCCAGCAAAAAAACCCCAAATCAAACCAAACCAAACAACCCCCAAACTTTCATGAAAAAAAAGAATATATAGAAACTTTGAAGTTGTGAAACATACAATATCCCACAAAACCCAAAACTTAACAGGACTTCGTATTTTATAACTTAAATATACTTTGACTAAAAAAAGTAAACTGTTTAATTGGACCAGTTAATGAAGTATAAATAAATCCTGTGCGTAGGGAATTAAAAACAAGAAATCTTTCCTCACAAACAGATTGCCAAAGAATTGTCTGCTGTAGGCTGTCTTCCCCCTTCCCACTCCCTCAGCATTTTTGGCTCCTATGGACAAAAGATTTATTATAGCTCCCAAGGAAGAAAAAGTGCTCAACTACAAGGCTGTGGGAGAGATGAAAACTCCTGGTAGGTACATGGAGCAGCTGCAAAGCTGGACCCTCTTCTCTGAGGAACCTGTAGGAGAGTCTAATTAACAAGTTTTGCAAGCACTCCTAATACATTACTCTCCCTCTTGTAAGAAAGGAAGAAACCCATTTTATACACAGAATGTGAAACTCAAATCCTCAGCATAATTAAAAAAGCATGCTCAAGCACACAAAAACAGCATTCCCAAGCTTAGTGTGTTTTTCACATTTGTATTTTTTCCATACAGTGTAGTTGAAACACCGACATTAAGATTATGGTTTGTGCATCATAATGCCCATAATCCTTCAACTGTAGAGATAAAAATGCATGAAGTGGTGAGGGCTCCCTTTTCTTGTCAGTGTTTAAAGGAGAAAGTCCCCTCTCAGAGGGTGTAATTATTGGAATTGATGCAAAAAGAGGTCAGCATCCTGATTCAGCAGAGCTTTATGACAACTGCTCATTTGCCAGAGGGGGGATAAAGGAAGTGCCATTAAAATTACTCTCCCGCTTTACAAGATAGGAAGTGACTACTAGAAATTCACCAGGGAGCATAAAGACACTTCAAAACAATATTTCTGCAATGAATCACAGGTATTAACAAGAAGCAATTTTTACTAATAGTGACGTTTCTCCGCTTTCAGAACGAACGTAGTAATAAATACTGAGCACTGTCATTTTATAGCTGCAGATAAGTGCTAAACTCCAGGGATTCTCAACAGCTAATGCTGCTCACATGCTTTTAACCATTAGCTCCAAAATTAAATATCTAGTCCTCTATCTCATCTTTAGCTTAATGTCAAGAAACAGCCCTGAGGAATACAAGCCACAAAAAACATCTTTACCTACCAGCGGTAAACCTATCTAGCTAAAACAAGAGACATTGAAGTGGTGGTAATCTTTGGCCTCAATAATTTCATTGCAACTGTATTTTAATACACAATACAATCTTTAGGTCTAAATGTAGGGAACAGATTAGGATAATCTTCCCTGCTGATTTATAGTGAGATTTGTGCAAACCACAGTAAACAACAATACTGACATTTTTTTTCCTTTCATTAAATTGCATTAAAATCTGAGCAAGGTCTTTCAAACAATGTTACAATTAACTCCTTGAGGAGGCCAAAAACTTGTGATGAAACAAGGAAAAGACTTCGTTTCCCTAAACAAAATTGAAAGTCTACAGTAAAACCATATATTATGCACAGTGTTCATGCTAATGAGCCACTCCTCACTGATAAGTGCTGAATTCAATTAATTTAGGTGTCAAAAATCTTACACCTCTTTCAGAACACCCTGAGAAGCCTCCATCTCACACAGAGCTCTTTCGCAGCAAAGCATGACTAATGTTTCAACTAATTTCCCCTTCCCCTCCCAAAAACACTTCAAAAAAACATTTATAACCTTGAAAGGTTACAGGAAAGATTTACAGACTCTAAGCAAGATCTGGCAACACACATGGAGGTGTGGGCGAAATGAAAAAAGGGTCTGGAGTGTGGAAGAGTACTCCTGCTGCTGTACACTTACGACCTCCTTTGTGTGACTACACCTACTCTCATGGGGAAAATAAGGGGCCCCAGAAGCGTCTTCCCCCAAAGCACGCCATCATTTACCCTCTGGATGATCACTTTCTAAACCACAAGCCCAGCTCTGACCCAGAAGTACAGCCTAGCAGCAGCCAGCACTGCAAAGCAGCCAGAGGCATCAAAATTAATGCATCCCTTCTGCTGATCATCCTCAGTATCCAACTTCATAAATGCTTCACGTCCCTGAGCTTCCCTGACCTACCCTCCAACACCAAAAATGTGCTCCAACTCAAGCTGCTCTTTAATATTGCCAAAGTCACAGTACTGCCTGGAGACATTAGCCATTGCTCAGCCTCTTTGGCTGCTCCCACATAAATGCAGCAAGCCCACTCTGTCCTAAAAAAGAAATTCACCCAACACTCCACCTCCCCGGACTACTTCCTATTTCCATTCAGCTGAGCATATTCTTCCATTTCTTAGGCCAAAGTCAGAGGAGCATGTATGATGCGACCAAAAGCTACAGAAACAATTCTCCACTCTTTATCAGCACAACTCAGTTTTTCCATCCTCAGTAACCCACCATCCTATCATAGGAAAAGTCAAATGGAACAGAATTTTATAAACTCAGTGTTACCTATAAAGACAAATAACTCTTGGCTTGGTTAATCTACTATTACTGACTAATGAAAACGCACTGAAAAATGCACTGAGAAGCCCAAGCACTACACAAGAGTGGGAGTGATTTATATACAGTTAATCCCACTCTAAACAGAATCAGACATCAGAGATAGCAAGGGCCTTGGGTAACCTAGTGCATTCTCTCTATCTGCTCACAAATCACTGGCAAGGATGTGCTGAACTGTACAAATTTAAGCATCCGAGCCCAGAAGTCAGAGCGCCATTGATGTTGCAACTCTAACAAATCTACAGCTATCGCTCCTCTCTCCAGGACACTTTGTATCAACTCTTTACACTTACACTTCCTTTGATATTCAAAAGCTGCAAATGCTGAACTTTCTTTTCACGGATTCAGCTGAAGCAGTACCAGCCTCTCAGTATGCCATACAGCCAATACAAACCCAGGCAAGATGATTGATCTAGGGATACGTGCAGTTTGTTTAAGCAGTGTATTAAAATGCAGTTCTAGACAGCCAGAAGAAAGCTAGCACCAACAAGGCCTTACACACAATGAACAGGAACAGGCTGGAGGAAAATTAAAATGTGACATTGCCCTGATTTCTTTACGTGGCATATCAGACAAGACTCTGGGGAAAATTTTAACTCTAAGTCCAGGTAAATTTGTTGTTCATTCCTTACATACGATTTTAATCCAGTCCCACTCCCATTCTTTCGTCTGGAAGTGTTTATCAACACACGCCCAGGCACAACAAAAGAGACAAGATTTTTTGCATGAACCGGGACATACTGATGCTCTTTCTCACCTTCAATTTTCCTGTCTCTAAAATAAAGTGTGCACGCACCTTGCACAGCCCTTAATTTTGAGACCACCTTCTTTACTTTGATCATACATAAGATACGTTGCAGTCTTAAAGACTTTTCTACATTCAATATTTAGTTCAACTGGGTAAGTTGAGTACTTTATTGGAAATAAAGCATCTAGCTACAACTAGCAACAGAGAAAAATGCCTTGGAGTCCCGCTTCTGAAATGTCAGTTCTTAAATGAGAAATCCACACAGATAACAACAGCTAGTACTTGTTCATACTTCTTTCCTAGTATTCTGCTATTAACCATTTAATTTGATGTTCTTCACAATCATCAAACACAACAAACTGCACAATTGCAACATTAAATCTATTAAGAGATTTCAGAATATTAATCCATGACTTTATGGATTAATATTCTGAAACAGCCTAAGGCAGAGCAGTCACCTATTAGGGGTGGAATAAGAACGACAGGAACATCAAAGCAATTTACCTAAGATCCTTGACAAGCATCACTCCCATAAAGACCTTGAAAGAGTATCCTACTGGAAACTACCTTAATCTAGGAATACCTTCAAGAAACTATGCTGCTAATACAGGTCCCTTGTTCAGCTACCAAGTTTTTGGGTAAATGCTTTAGCTGATGAAAACTGGGCATATTTTTTAACATTATTCAAAAATTGAGAGTTTCGTATGTTTCTAAGCTTCAATAAAAAGCACTAAAAATTCAGATCTTTTCTATTCTGGAAGCTGCTATAAACTAGCAGGACATTAACACCTACATTTGGTAAATGATATTTCTGGAATGGTATCTATGCTGCCATTCAGTGAGATCTGGACAGGCTAGAGAGCTAGGCAGAGAGGAACCTCATGATGTTAACAAAGGCAAGCGTG